AATTTATTTCAATTGAGTATATCTCTTATATAAACTGAAACAACTCATCGATTTGGAGTCAATATCCTTTGCCATAAACAATCAATCAATAAAATTGGTTCAAATACGTGTCTGTCATACATATTTACACAAACAAAAAGGATATTCTGTTTTAGAAAGAAAAAATTTATTTAGGTTTTTCTTATGAGAATATGTTGAAAAGAATAAGAAGAAGAAAAAAACGAAAGAAAAATATAATATGAAATCCGCAAAACGGACTTCAGGAAAATGATGTATTGGTTCCTGAATAAGTATATACAGATTTGAAAAAATCAGAAAAAGTTCAATCTATAAATGATAATAGTTCGAATTATTTTTTTTATAATTTTTTCCTATCCTGATGGTATTATTAATTTCATAAAACCGAGTAAATATTTTGATGTTTTATAGTCGGTATGTACATAAATAAATTATAAAGTGAAAATATTATGTTTTTATGAAGAATTTATATAATAACCTTTCCTGTATTGTCTTAAGTTGCAAAGAAAGAGAAAAATAGGTAATATTAATAATAAATGCATCTATATTTATTTTAATATAAATGTTGAATTCGACTCCGGTGCTTAATGTGCAGAACCGAAAATAAGTTTCTAATAAAATCGCTATAAAAATAGCCCGGTTCAATGTGTTATTATAACCAAATTGAAAGCATTTTATTTAATTTTAGGTAAAAAATTATAAAACTTTAAGGATAACCTTTAAACATTCCTTTCATCCTAATTCCTTATATAATAGCAAAATCTAACACATTGCTATCATATTAATATTCAACTCTTACTGTGAATATTAACAAATTCCTTTTATAGCAACCATCCAGCAGAATTTAAAAAAATATTATATTTGCAGAGTTTAATGATAACTTATAGCTAAAATGTTCTAGGCTTTTCACATTAAATATACTAAAAAAAATATTTCTAAAAAATTGCTTTATGTTCAGATTACTCAGAAATCCCACAATTAGTCAGACCAAATCAAAATGATATTTATTCCAACTTTATACATTTCCTTTTTTAAAAAAAAATTATAGAAAATTACACTTAAGGGACCGCACAATACTGGTTTTGTACGTGCATACACAATACATAAAACTTTAAGTTATTTGTATTTGTCATATTAAAATTTTATTCTTATTATTATCTTGATTTAGCACACAATATTCTATAATAATATTAGGAGTATAATACAAATGCATATATATATATATCTTATGTATTGAAAAATATCATGGGTCACAACGTTTACATTATCTACTATCCCACTACTTTGCGGGTGATTTATTTTTTTTCATTTTCATAATGGAATTTTCTATTGAAATATTTTTTTTTTTTATTTTATATCCTTGTGACAGTCAATTCAAATTCATTTTAAAAGAGCTTTATAATTTTAAAATGTAAAGTGAAAGAGAAGAAGTAAGCATTACATTCTATGATGAAAACTATATTTAAATAAAATTGCATTAAGCAATATTGCACGTAATCACTTCTAATTTACGTTATCAGAAATATTTTAATATTGCATATCATCATAATATTATCTGCTCAATGTATACTTATACAGGGTTGTTATTCTATATTAATCCACGGAATTGATTTCAAAATAATTTAAAACATTTTGTAATCAAAAAATTTGAAATCAAATTTTGTATCCTCTATTAAATTGTATCACTCTAAAATTTGACTAAGAAGAGAAATGACTCAATGCACATATACTTTGTACCCCATTTTTTAAATTTCGGATGTGAAAAATGTTTCAATTTGCGGGCGGATACATTAATTTACATTACTTATGTTAAGATGCATAAACCTAATTACAGAAGTCAATACATAAGTGTACTTTATGCGGAAATCACTGCACTGATTTAGTTGGAGTTGAAGCTTAAATATTTAATATTTATTGAGCAAGGTAATTTTTCGTAGAATTCGCTTTTTCCAATGTAAAGTCAGTCAAATGACCAGAGCTTTTTTACCACAGAACTTAAGAAAATTGTTATAAGAAAATTAAGAAGACATTCTTACCTAGTTGACTTTCGGAAAACAGTCGTTTCTGTAAAAAAAACAACCGAATTCTCAGTGAATCATTATCACTGATTCTCTATCGTAAAAGCACCAAGCTTTATTACAAATTTAATTTATTTATACTCATGGTTTCATTGATTACCTTCATTGAAATTTCGAAGTAACTCATATGTCCTACACACAAAAAAATCGCATGGTTAACTCACAGGTTGCAGCAACTATAATATGGTTAAAATCTAAAAACATGGTTAAAGTCACCATATTTGTCGAAACACATAGTTAATATAACCATAACCACCATATTTTCAACCATAGTCCAAATTTTATATGGTTAACTTTGAGTTATTTAAAAAAAAAATCATTTTTGTACATAAGAACAACCATATTTTGGTTATTTCAACAATAATGCATGGTTATTTTCAATCATATTATGGTTGAATATAACCAAAAATATGGTTGGATCTAACTATAATATGGTTGAATTTAACCATAATATAGTTGAATTTTTATCATAATATGGTTAAAAATAACCATATTATGATTGTTTTTAACCACAGTATGATTGTTTTCAACTATAATATGATTGATTTTAACCATAGTATAGTTAACTTAACCATAAAATGGTTCATGTCAATGTAGCGCCTTTAGTTTTGAGTTTAACGCATGTGTATTTGTAATATTTCTTTTAATAAACGTCAATAATTTTTTTATGATTGTCCGAAATATGAATACTTTGAAGTTGTACATAAACATGTTTTCGACATTTCAAATTCAAAATGAAATTTTTTTTATGTTTTACGAAATAAATTTACGTTTTGCGAAAAATATGTAGATTTTTAGAAATTTAAACGAAATAAATTTTTTTTAAATTCTCATTAAATTATAATACATTTATTGCTTTCCTTAGGTTTCGCATAAGAATAACAATATTTTTACTGCATAATATAAGAATAACAAGATTTCTTATGGCACATATCAAGTTGTGCTAAAAAAGGAAACCTTTGTTGAAAAAGTGAAAAAAATTTTACCTGATATGAATAATCGCAAAATTTTGGATACTTGAAATGAAAAATATTTAATTTTTATCATATTTCTCAGGTGTTGTCTAAAATCTAGAAAAATATTTGTGCTTAGCGCTGAAAATATTAAACTCATTTTGTTTTGTGAAAAACTGGGGGATTTTTAAGAGATTTGAAAGAAAAAAAACATTCTTCATTCTTTAGATAAAAGTCAAATATTTTTCCACAATTTGAATTTTGTAATTTAAAAACGAAATTTTAATTTTTTTGCTTTATATCTTAAAATTTAGTACTTGTTCAAAAAAACATAGGACTTTTAGTTTTTATATAAAAATAAATAATTTAGTAAAATTCATGTAAGAGTTTCCTAAGTTTTCAAATTATGATGCAGTATTTTCGCTTTTAAATTTATTTCATATACATATGCATACACTATGGTTAAAATAACCATACATGGTTGATATTCCTAACGGGACCTTTAAATAAGCGTCAACAGTTTTTTATGATTGCCTGAAATACATATGTAAATACTTTGAAGATGTACATGAATAGGTTTTCGACATCTCAAATTCGAAATATAAATTTTGTTTTATGTTTACGAAATTTTTCTGTTTAACATTTAGAGCAAAATACTTATGTAAATTTTTTGGAGATGTAAATAACTTTTTTTTTTAAATTATCATTAAAAATCATATGTTTTTTGAAGTTTGGAATAATTAACTATAAAATTTTTTAGTCTTTCTTTGGTTTTACATAAAAATAACAAGAATGCTCATGTTTTGTGTGTCAAATAATAAGTTAATTACGATTTGCTATATAAAAGCAGAATTGTTCAAAAAAGTGTAAAATTTTTTGTAGACATTAAACGACAATCCTAAATTTTTAACATTTTTAAGAAAAACATTTAAATTTTATTATTTTTCTTAGATTTCTGTGAAAGTTAGGAAAAAAGGTTTATGTTTAGCCTTAACTACAAAGTTATATTAAATTTTTTATGTTTTGCAAAAAATTTGTAGACTTTTTAAAGATTTAAGAGAAAAGAGATGTTTTTCTTTTAATTCTTTTAAATCATATATGTATTTATTGAGTTTTAGAATCAGAAACGGAAAATTTCTCTGTTTTTCTTAGATTTTACAAAACAAAAGAAATCTCTCGTTTTGTATAGCAAATACATTACGATTTGCAAAAAAAATGACGCATTGTTTAAAAAATTAAAAAACTTTAAAAAACTTATGCGAAAATCGCAATTTTGACATTTTTATTGAAAAACAATTAATTTTAACTTTTTAAATACTATTTTCAGATTTTGTGTAATAACTAGCAAAATTTATCTTAAAAAAGTATAAAATTTCATAAAACATAAGATAAAGTTTCCAAAATTTTTAAATCATTGCACTTTTTATTTTCGTTTCATAAATCCCTCTAGTTTATGGTGGTACATTTTAAGTATATGTGTGCATAAAAAACACGTGATTTTGAAATTAACCATGTTATGGTTAAAATAACCATATTATGGTTGACCATATTATGGTTCAACCATAGTATGGTTGGTTTTAACCATAGTATGGTTAACATTCCTAACGGAACCTTCTTGTTTTTACATGGTGATGTTTTGTTTTTGAGTTTTGCGCGTATGGATTAGTAACATTTCATTTAACAAGCATAAATAATATTCAGTAAGTGTTCGCGATTCAAAGTAACAGGTTCATATTAGAAGTATTTAAAGTGTAAAAATTTTAAAAAAGTTTTAAGTGAATTTCTGTAAAGTGAAAAATTGTTTAAAAGACTATTAAGAATATATTGTATATTATTTAAAATTCATGTGTAGTTTTCAGTGAAATAAAATTTAAAAGTATAAATTGAATCATTTAATAAAGTTTTATTTGCTCAAGTAATCAAATTTGTGTATAAAAATAAATTGAAATAATTAAAATTCATTATAATTCTAAAAAAAAATCTTAAATTTTATTTAAAATAAATAGAAGTTTCAAGTTACTGAAAATAAAAATTTCATTATGGACGTAGCGGTAAGTGTTATGAAGCAGTGTTGAAAAAAATACAGTTATCCTTAAATTTACGATGTTTTCAAATCACTCCATTTTTATGAAAATAAAACCTTACACCATGTATACAAAAAACTTAACAGAACTTACAAAACAAAAAAATTAAAAATTTGCAGTATATTTCAAATTTAAGCGGTAAATTTAATTCGAGAAACAATTATCTTGATAACGTATATCAAAACCAAGTATAAAAGAGCGACGTAAATCTAGGGATAACTGTACGTACTTTTGTAAATTAGTTTTCTGTTTTACATACATTGTATAATGTGAATGTATGCTAAAAGTGTATTTCGACAAACTTTTTTATTTTAAATAAATATGCTACTTTATTGATTTGATTCGACTTTATTAGCCATGACATCTTTAATAATAATAAAATAAAAATATGTAGCTTTTAAAGAATGATAATGAATCAAATTTTATGAACATAGTAATGAATTAAATGTGGTGGAATTGTAATATGTTGTGTTTGTTTGTATAGTAGTAAAAATAATTCAGTATTTCGACTAAAACATTAAGAGAAAATAAAATTCCTTTTTAAATTATTTCACAAATTTATGTACTAATTTATAAATTGTAAATAATACGTGAATTGCAATTCTTAATTATATATTTTTTTAATTACAACAGTGTAAAAAGGTTTTTTTGAATGTAGCACGAGGAGATGTGAAAAAAACAGTCAAACTAACTATGGACAAGTCAAAATATATAAATTTGGATGAACTAAATGATGCTGTAAAAATCAAATTTAATTTTAATGAGAATCCAATATACACAAGTGAAGTTGGTGATGTTCTTGATCCAGAGGATGTCGTAGATTATATTTATCAATACATGGAATCTCCATCGTTTGTGTTACAAATAAAAGGTTTTATCTAATAAAAATTCATAAAATTAAATTTTTTACGTATGTATATAAAAATTTAACCACATCCAACTGAAATAAATTTTAAGCTTTGATGTAACGCGTTAAATTTACAAAGGAACAAAAGGACGCGCAAAATTCGTGTTTCCCATTTAATTTTTAAATTTATCTTGCTTAAAAAGTGTAATTTTATTTGAAAACAAAATTGTTTTTTTTCTGTTCATTATTGTTTTTTAATATTTTATAAAATTATAACGCACTTACTGTAAAACAGCCAGTTATCCTATAATATAAGCATTGTTGAACATAAATTCATTAGAAAGCTATCTTCTTTTATATTAATTTTATTTAAAAATTGACCGGTTTTTGTCTACAAATATAAAATATTTTTGCATAAAAAACTTTTTAAAATTAAATTGAGTAATTACAACTTTAATTTAAAAGTAATGAACAGAAAACACGCAATTTCGTATAATTAATAGAATGTTTTTATGAAATATAAACTACTTATGTTTTTTCAGGTTCTCCATTTGAAACAGATAATAATTCAGTAGAAATATTAAACGAGCTTGCAGTTGTAAATGCATCGACTGTGCAAGAACCTTCATATGTAATCGAAAATTTGTTTAATACCTTGATTACAGAAGAGGTACAAATATTTTTTTATTTTTAATATCATTGGATTTAAGCAAAATATATTTTTTTTCCAACACTCAAAGGACTTTAAATTATTTCTTAATTTCGAGTGCAAAGATATTATTCAATCATACAAAGAGAAGCAATTATTAGGACGGTATGACAGAATAAATTTAAGCAAAAGTATTATCAATCATCTTTTAAACGTGGATCCTTATATGAAGTGTGTTAAGATTCAGAATGCAGTTAAATGTTGAACTACTAGTTATTTTACACTTTTTTTATTGTATAGTATACGAAAAGAAGATTTTGAAAGATTGGCTTCTTATATTGTGAAAGCATTTCCAAACGAATCAAAAGATTCTTACTACACAAAATATTCAACTGGACGTTTGGCTTCTGGTAAATTATATGATGCATATACAAATGCAAAAACCAAATTAGCTAAAAAAGGTTTGATACATCGCAGAAGTCGCTCTAAGAGTCTCTCATCTACTTGTACTGAATCAACTTTAGTTTCACCTATTCACCTTAACTTAGGTATGTATATATATATTTCTAATTTCAATTCACTCAATTTGTTAATTTTATTTATATCCAATTAAGATAACGATCAATCGACCATACTGGAAATTGTCGAGGAAATTTCAGCTGCGTCAACAATTTCGGACGAGTTGCGGTGCAAATGGGAGATCACATTTGATCACCGATGTATGCTATTAGAAAAGGATACTCCAACTTCAGAGTACATCGATAAGTTTTCTGTGTTGAAGAGCGGAGCAGGCTATGAATTGGTAAGAACTTTGCAATTTTCAAAGCAGATTTCATTTAAAGATAAAACAATATTTTTTATAAAGTTGGTTTTAGATGCTGAAAAACGGTATGGAACCAAAATAGTACCAAAGATAACTGAGAAAAATATTCAACTTATTATTAATGAAGCCCATTTAAGTAGGAACTTGAAAACTAAGGAAATATTAAAGGCTTTGGAGAATGAAACAGACGGTAGAATATTTTTAAAATATGTATTATTATCATACATTTTGAGAGTTATTTACTTTCCGTTACAGATAGTAAAAGAAAATGTTGGGCTCTTCTGATTTTGCCATATGTAATACCAGTTTCAAATATTAAGCGAAAGTTGTCAACAAAATTGTACAGGCCTTCAAAAATTGAAGCTCAAGAAGCGTTTATAGCACATTATAAGGTAAATAAAAATTTTAATGTTTTAAAATTTGGAAAATATAAAAATTTATATATGATTTTTGCGCAAATCATATGCAATTTTTTTTTAAATTTTAAAGCTATTAGCGGAGATGTCCAGATTTAAATTTAAACTGTGCATGGGTTAATTAAAAAATTAAAATGCACAAAAAATGGAATTAAGATAGAGAAAATAAAAATTAAGTAGACAAGTGTCTGCAACCAATTGTTAATATTTAAAAATAAAAAAAAAATGTTTGTATATTTCAGAGTATACCAGAAGCAGATCACGCAGAGAGGCAGTATATCAACCAATGCAGAAAAGTTAAAGTCAATATCCAGCCAAAAATAGTTTTTATAGGAGAAAATATCGATTTGACGTGGGTTTTAGTGTCACATGTCAAATATTGTTTTAAAAATCCGTTAGAAGCAGTTACTGCATGCTTCAGTGTTTTCATGGGACTTAACATACAATATCCACCCGAATGCAAGAGAATCTGGTATTTTGTTCAAAATTACATTTACAAAATTACAACTAAATATGACAAGGATGATGCTGTATTGAAGACCTTAGCTTTAGATTTAGAATTCCTGCAACAAAATAAAAATTAAAATCTTAATAAGAATGAACAAATAGGTACGTGTAGAAACTGTATACATACAATTACTATTAAATTTAAATTTTATTTTAATAAGTTTAACGAAATTTAAATGAATTAATATAATATGTGTAACTTTTATAATTTTTAAAATGAATTTTAAATGCTTTTTATGTATTTCAAATTTTGATAATGATGTACAATTTGTTGATCATTTGAAGTTAAAACATGCAAATTCTATTCGTTTTCCATGCACTATCTGCAATCGAGTTTATGATAACATTTACTACTACAAAGTTCATTTAAAAAGCCATGCAATTTGTTCTAAAAATGACTTAAGCTCAATTTGTGATTCAAATCAAAGTGCAATTTATATTGCTAATACGATTTCAAATGACACCTCAGTTAGTTCAAAAGAAAAAATTTCAAGTCATGCAAATATTAGCTTTCGGAATGAATTCTTTAAAATTTTCCTTTGAAAATTAGTGCGTTAAGAAAAGTTAATAAAGATGTTTTTGAACGATATAAATTTACAGCGAAAGATAATGTCTATTCGACAAAATTTATTCGGTATAATAATTTACCTGTGAAGGTTGGTATGGTAATTTATGAAACAAACTCACAACTTGCTGTTGTAGATTATATCTTTAAATATGGCGAAAAATTGTATTTAGGCTTATCTTTACTGAAAGAGATATGTTTTGACATGCATTATTATGCTTATGTTGTTGACAACACTAATATACGCAAAACAATTCCTGTAAATGTAAATTGCATAACTCGTACATCGTATATTAACCAAACTTCAAATGGTCAAAAAATAGTTGTACTTAATCACATTTTACATGAGATATATCAAAGTAACTTATAAGAATAATTTTTTGTAAAAAATATGTAAAATATGGAATATAGAATTTTGTTTTTGTAAACATTAGGTAATACGCAATTATATGTCATAAATACTGTGCGAATATTATAAAAATTATTTTTCTGTGTAATAAAATTTTGAAGCTAAATTTTTTTGTGTTATTATTAACAATTTTTACTTTTTAATACAAAATTTTTTTTTACAAAAAAAGATTTCTAGATATTTTGCATTAGATTAATCATGATTGATTTAAGTAAAGTTTGAAAATTAATTTTAAAGAAAAGTGAGGCATGAGTTTTTGAGTTCAATTAAACTTACAATAATTTTAAAGTATTTTGAGGAGAATTTGTGAAAAAAAATTTACTTAACCCCCTAAAATTTATCAATTTCTGTTGCGAGTAATAATAAGCAAGGTGCTATTGTTATACAGCATGACAATGAAAGTAGAAGAATAGGCTTTTCAATAATGCTGTATACCGTACCTGTTAAGTGGGTTACAATTTTAATAATATTACATAGTTATTTTAACCATACTATGGTTACAAAATGAAACTTTTATAAGGTTGCAACAATAATGTTACATGGTTCTTGTAACCATACTATGGTTAAAAAAATCAACATTAATAAGGTTGCAACAACTATGTTGCATAGTTGTTTTAACCATATTATGTTTAAAAACATTTTCTTTATTTGGTTAACTTAACCATAAATCTTAGTTAAGTTAACTATAATATGGTTAAAATTTAAATATTTTTATGTTTGTATCAACCTTAATATGGTTGAAACCCAATTATTTTTATTTTTGCAACAACCATGTTATGGTTGTTTTTAACTATATTATGGTTAAAATTTGTATATAACAGCAACCATAATATGGTTAAATGCAACCATAATATAGTTAAATACAACCATATTATGGTTAAATTTAACTATAATATGGTTAAAATATGGTAAATTTAATCATAATTTATGGTTGAAACAACCATAATGTAATTAATTTTCATCGAAAAGTATATAACAGCAACCATAATTTATGGTTAAAACTTAATCATAGTATGGTTCTTTAAAATTATGGTTAACTTAACCATAAAATTTTTTTGTGTGTACACACAAAAAAATCGCATGGTTAACTCACAGGTTGCAGCAACTATAATATGGTTAAAATCTAAAAACATGGTTAAAGTCACCATATTTGTCGAAACACATAGTTAATATAACCATAACCACCATATTTTCAACCATAGTCCAAATTTTATATGGTTAACTTTGAGTTATTTAAAAAAAAAATCATTTTTGTACATAAGAACAACCATATTTTGGTTATTTCAACAATAATGCATGGTTATTTTCAATCATATTATGGTTGAATATAACCAAAAATATGGTTGGATCTAACTATAATATGGTTGAATTTAACCATAATATAGTTGAATTTTTATCATAATATGGTTAAAAATAACCATATTATGATTGTTTTTAACCACAGTATGATTGTTTTCAACTATAATATGATTGATTTTAACCATAGTATAGTTAACTTAACCATAAAATGGTTCATGTCAATGTAGCGCCTTTAGTTTTGAGTTTAACGCATGTGTATTTGTAATATTTCTTTTAATAAACGTCAATAATTTTTTTATGATTGTCCGAAATATGAATACTTTGAAGTTGTACATAAACATGTTTTCGACATTTCAAATTCAAAATGAAATTTTTTTTATGTTTTACGAAATAAATTTACGTTTTGCGAAAAATATGTAGATTTTTAGAAATTTAAACGAAATAAATTTTTTTTAAATTCTCATTAAATTATAATACATTTATTGCTTTCCTTAGGTTTCGCATAAGAATAACAATATTTTTACTGCATAATATAAGAATAACAAGATTTCTTATGGCACATATCAAGTTGTGCTAAAAAAGGAAACCTTTGTTGAAAAAGTGAAAAAAATTTTACCTGATATGAATAATCGCAAAATTTTGGATACTTGAAATGAAAAATATTTAATTTTTATCATATTTCTCAGGTGTTGTCTAAAATCTAGAAAAATATTTGTGCTTAGCGCTGAAAATATTAAACTCATTTTGTTTTGTGAAAAACTGGGGGATTTTTAAGAGATTTGAAAGAAAAAAAACATTCTTCATTCTTTAGATAAAAGTCAAATATTTTTCCACAATTTGAATTTTGTAATTTAAAAACGAAATTTTAATTTTTTTGCTTTATATCTTAAAATTTAGTACTTGTTCAAAAAAACATAGGACTTTTAGTTTTTATATAAAAATAAATAATTTAGTAAAATTCATGTAAGAGTTTCCTAAGTTTTCAAATTATGATGCAGTATTTTCGCTTTTAAATTTATTTCATATACATATGCATACACTATGGTTAAAATAACCATACATGGTTGATATTCCTAACGGGACCTTTAAATAAGCGTCAACAGTTTTTTATGATTGCCTGAAATACATATGTAAATACTTTGAAGATGTACATGAATAGGTTTTCGACATCTCAAATTCGAAATATAAATTTTGTTTTATGTTTACGAAATTTTTCTGTTTAACATTTAGAGCAAAATACTTATGTAAATTTTTTGGAGATGTAAATAACTTTTTTTTTTAAATTATCATTAAAAATCATATGTTTTTTGAAGTTTGGAATAATTAACTATAAAATTTTTTAGTCTTTCTTTGGTTTTACATAAAAATAACAAGAATGCTCATGTTTTGTGTGTCAAATAATAAGTTAATTACGATTTGCTATATAAAAGCAGAATTGTTCAAAAAAGTGTAAAATTTTTTGTAGACATTAAACGACAATCCTAAATTTTTAACATTTTTAAGAAAAACATTTAAATTTTATTATTTTTCTTAGATTTCTGTGAAAGTTAGGAAAAAAGGTTTATGTTTAGCCTTAACTACAAAGTTATATTAAATTTTTTATGTTTTGCAAAAAATTTGTAGACTTTTTAAAGATTTAAGAGAAAAGAGATGTTTTTCTTTTAATTCTTTTAAATCATATATGTATTTATTGAGTTTTAGAATCAGAAACGGAAAATTTCTCTGTTTTTCTTAGATTTTACAAAACAAAAGAAATCTCTCGTTTTGTATAGCAAATACATTACGATTTGCAAAAAAAATGACGCATTGTTTAAAAAATTAAAAAACTTTAAAAAACTTATGCGAAAATCGCAATTTTGACATTTTTATTGAAAAACAATTAATTTTAACTTTTTAAATACTATTTTCAGATTTTGTGTAATAACTAGCAAAATTTATCTTAAAAAAGTATAAAATTTCATAAAACATAAGATAAAGTTTCCAAAATTTTTAAATCATTGCACTTTTTATTTTCGTTTCATAAATCCCTCTAGTTTATGGTGGTACATTTTAAGTATATGTGTGCATAAAAAACACGTGATTTTGAAATTAACCATGTTATGGTTAAAATAACCATATTATGGTTGACCATATTATGGTTCAACCATAGTATGGTTGGTTTTAACCATAGTATGGTTAACATTCCTAACGGAACCTTCTTGTTTTTACATGGTGATGTTTTGTTTTTGAGTTTTGCGCGTATGGATTAGTAACATTTCATTTAACAAGCATAAATAATATTCAGTAAGTGTTCGCGATTCAAAGTAACAGGTTCATATTAGAAGTATTTAAAGTGTAAAAATTTTAAAAAAGTTTTAAGTGAATTTCTGTAAAGTGAAAAATTGTTTAAAAGACTATTAAGAATATATTGTATATTATTTAAAATTCATGTGTAGTTTTCAGTGAAATAAAATTTAAAAGTATAAATTGAATCATTTAATAAAGTTTTATTTGCTCAAGTAATCAAATTTGTGTATAAAAATAAATTGAAATAATTAAAATTCATTATAATTCTAAAAAAAAATCTTAAATTTTATTTAAAATAAATAGAAGTTTCAAGTTACTGAAAATAAAAATTTCATTATGGACGTAGCGGTAAGTGTTATGAAGCAGTGTTGAAAAAAATACAGTTATCCTTAAATTTACGATGTTTTCAAATCACTCCATTTTTATGAAAATAAAACCTTACACCATGTATACAAAAAACTTAACAGAACTTACAAAACAAAAAAATTAAAAATTTGCAGTATATTTCAAATTTAAGCGGTAAATTTAATTCGAGAAACAATTATCTTGATAACGTATATCAAAACCAAGTATAAAAGAGCGACGTAAATCTAGGGATAACTGTACGTACTTTTGTAAATTAGTTTTCTGTTTTACATACATTGTATAATGTGAATGTATGCTAAAAGTGTATTTCGACAAACTTTTTTATTTTAAATAAATATGCTACTTTATTGATTTGATTCGACTTTATTAGCCATGACATCTTTAATAATAATAAAATAAAAATATGTAGCTTTTAAAGAATGATAATGAATCAAATTTTATGAACATAGTAATGAATTAAATGTGGTGGAATTGTAATATGTTGTGTTTGTTTGTATAGTAGTAAAAATAATTCAGTATTTCGACTAAAACATTAAGAGAAAATAAAATTCCTTTTTAAATTATTTCACAAATTTATGTACTAATTTATAAATTGTAAATAATACGTGAATTGCAATTCTTAATTATATATTTTTTTAATTACAACAGTGTAAAAAGGTTTTTTTGAATGTAGCACGAGGAGATGTGAAAAAAACAGTCAAACTAACTATGGACAAGTCAAAATATATAAATTTGGATGAACTAAATGATGCTGTAAAAATCAAATTTAATTTTAATGAGAATCCAATATACACAAGTGAAGTTGGTGATGTTCTTGATCCAGAGGATGTCGTAGATTATATTTATCAATACATGGAATCTCCATCGTTTGTGTTACAAATAAAAGGTTTTATCTAATAAAAATTCATAAAATTAAAATTTTTACGTATGTATATAAAAATTTAACCACATCCAACTGAAATAAATTTTAAGCTTTGATGTAACGCGTTAAATTTACAAAGGAACAAAAGGACGCGCAAAACTCGTGTTTCCCATTTAATTTTTAAATTTATCTTGCTTAAAAAGTGTAATTTTATTTGAAAACAAAATTGTTTTTTTTCTGTTCATTATTGTTTTTTAATATTTTATAAAATTATAACGCACTTACTGTAAAACAGCCAGTTATCCTATAATATAAGCATTGTTGAACATAAATTCATTAGAAAGCTATCTTCTTTTATATTAATTTTATTTAAAAATTGACCGGTTTTTGTCTACAAATATAAAATATTTTTGCATAAAAAACTTTTTAAAATTAAATTGAGTAATTACAACTTTAATTTAAAAGTAATGAACAGAAAACACGCAATTTCGTATAATTAATAGAATGTTTTTATGAAATATAAACTACTTATGTTTTTTCAGGTTCTCCATTTGAAACAGATAATAATTCAGTAGAAATATTAAACGAGCTTGCAGTTGTAAATGTATCGACTGTGCAAGAACCTTCATATGTAATCGAAAATTTGTTTAATACCTTGATTACAGAAGAGGTACAAATATTTTTTTATTTTTAATATCATTGGATTTAAGCAAAATATATTTTTTTTCCAACACTCAAAGGACTTTAAATTATTTCTTAATTTCGAGTGCAAAGATATTATTCAATCATACAAAGAGAAGCAATTATTAGGACGGTATGACAGAATAAATTTAAGCAAAAGTATTATCAATCATCTTTTAAACGTGGATCCTTATATGAAGTGTGTTAAGATTCAGAATGCAGTTAAATGTTGAACTACTAGTTATTTTACACTTTTTTTATTGTATAGTATACGAAAAGAAGATTTTGAAAGATTGGCTTCTTATATTGTGAAAGCATTTCCAAACGAATCAAAAGATTCTTACTACACAAAATATTCAACTGGACGTTTGGCTTCTGGTAAATTATATGATGCATATACAAATGCAAAAACCAAATTAGCTAAAAAAGGTTTGATACATCGCAGAAGTCGCTCTAAGAGTCTCTCATCTACTTGTACTGAATCAACTTTAGTTTCACCTATTCACCTTAACTTAGGTATGTATATATATATTTCTAATTTCAATTCACTCAATTTGTTAATTTTATTTATATCCAATTAAGATAACGATCAATCGACCATACTGGAAATTGTCGAGGAAATTTCAGCTGCGTCAACAATTTCGGACGAGTTGCGGTGCAAATGGGAGATCACATTTGATCACCGATGTATGCTATTAGAAAAGGATACTCCAACTTCAGAGTACATCGATAAGTTTTCTGTGTTGAAGAGCGGAGCAGGCTATGAATTGGTAAGAACTTTGCAATTTTCAAAGCAGATTTCATTTGAAGATAAAACAATATTTTTTATAAAGTTGGTTTTAGATGCTGAAAAACGGTATGGAACCAAAATAGTACCAAAGATAACTGAGAAAAATATTCAACTTATTATTAATGAAGCCCATTTAAGTAGGAACTTGAAAACTAAGGAAATATTAAAGGCTTTGGAGAATGAAACAGACGGTAGAATATTTTTAAAATATGTATTATTATCATACATTTTGAGAGTTATTTACTTTCCGTTACAGATAGTAAAAGAAAATGTTGGGCTCTTCTGATTTTGCCATATGTAATACCAGTTTCAAATATTAAGCGAAAGTTGTCAACAAAATTGTACAGGCCTTCAAAAATTGAAGCTCAAGAAGCGTTTATAGCACATTATAAGGTAAATAAAAATTTTAATGTTTTAAAATTTGGAAAATATAAAAATTTATATATGATTTTTGCGCAAATCATATGCAATTTTTTTTTAAATTTTAAAGCTATTAGCGGAGATGTCCAGATTTAAATTTAAACTGTGCATGGGTTAATTAAAAAATTAAAATGCACAAAAAATGGAATTAAGATAGAGAAAATAAAAATTAAGTAGACAAGTGTCTGCAACCAATTGTTAATATTTAAAAATAAAAAAAAAATGTTTGTATATTTCAGAGTATACCAGAAGCAGATCACGCAGAGAGGCAGTATATCAACCAATGCAGAAAAGTTAAAGTCAATATCCAGCCAAAAATAGTTTTTATAGGAGAAAATATCGATTTGACGTGGGTTTTAGTGTCACATGTCAAATATTGTTTTAAAAATCCGTTAGAAGCAGTTACTGCATGCTTCAGTGTTTTCATGGGACTTAACATACAATATCCACCCGAATGCAAGAGAATCTGGTATTTTGTTCAAAATTACATTTACAAAATTACAACTAAATATGACAAGGATGATGCTGTATTGAAGACCTTAGCTTTAGATTTAGAATTCCTGCAACAAAATAAAAATTAAAATCTTAATAAGAATGAACAAATAGGTACGTGTAGAAACTGTATACATACAATTACTATTAAATTTAAATTTTATTTTAATAAGTTTAACGAAATTTAAATGAATTAATATAATATGTGTAACTTTTATAATTTTTAAAATGAATTTTAAATGCTTTTTATGTATTTCAAATTTTGATAATGATGTACAATTTGTTGATCATTTGAAGTTAAAACATGCAAATTCTATTCGTTTTCCATGCACTATCTGCAATCGAGTTTATGATAACATTTACTACTACAAAGTTCATTTAAAAAGCCATGCAATTTGTTCTAAAAATGACTTAAGCTCAATTTGTGATTCAAATCAAAGTGCAATTTATATTGCTAATACGATTTCAAATGACACCTCAGTTAGTTCAAAAGAAAAAATTTCAAGTCATGCAAATATTAGCTTTCGGAATGAATTCTTTAAAATTTTCCTTTGAAAATTAGTGCGTTAAGAAAAGTTAATAAAGATGTTTTTGAACGATATAAATTTACAGCGAAAGATAATGTCTATTCGACAAAATTTATTCGGTATAATAATTTACCTGTGAAGGTTGGTATGGTAATTTATGAAACAAACTCACAACTTGCTGTTGTAGATTATATCTTTAAATATGGCGAAAAATTGTATTTAGGCTTATCTTTACTGAAAGAGATATGTTTTGACATGCATTATTATGCTTATGTTGTTGACAACACTAATATACGCAAAACAATTCCTGTAAATGTAAATTGCATAACTCGTACATCGTATATTAACCAAACTTCAAATGGTCAAAAAATAGTTGTACTTAATCACATTTTACATGAGATATATCAAAGTAACTTATAAGAATAATTTTTTGTAAAAAATATGTAAAATATGGAATATAGAATTTTGTTTTTGTAAACATTAGGTAATACGCAATTATATGTCATAAATACTGTGCGAATATTATAAAAATTATTTTTCTGTGTAATAAAATTTTGAAGCTAAATTTTTTTGTGTTATTATTAACAATTTTTACTTTTTAATACAAAATTTTTTTTTACAAAAAAAGATTTCTAGATATTTTGCATTAGATTAATCATGATTGATTTAAGTAAAGTTTGAAAATTAATTTTAAAGAAAAGTGAGGCATGAGTTTTTGAGTTCAATTAAACTTACAATAATTTTAAAGTATTTTGAGGAGAATTTGTGAAAAAAAATTTACTTAACCCCCTAAAATTTATCAATTTCTGTTGCGAGTAATAATAAGCAAGGTGCTATTGTTATACAGCATGACAATGAAAGTAGAAGAATAGGCTTTTCAATAATGCTGTATACCGTACCTGTTAAGTGGGTTACAATTTTAATAATATTACATAGTTATTTTAACCATACTATGGTTACAAAATGAAACTTTTATAAGGTTGCAACAATAATGTTACATGGTTCTTGTAACCATACTATGGTTAAAAAAATCAACATTAATAAGGTTGCAACAACTATGTTGCATAGTTGTTTTAACCATATTATGTTTAAAAACATTTTCTTTATTTGGTTAACTTAACCATAAATCTTAGTTAAGTTAACTATAATATGGTTAAAATTTAAATATTTTTATGTTTGTATCAACCTTAATATGGTTGAAACCCAATTATTTTTATTTTTGCAACAACCATGTTATGGTTGTTTTTAACTATATTATGGTTAAAATTTGTATATAACAGCAACCATAATATGGTTAAATGCAACCATAATATAGTTAAATACAACCATATTATGGTTAAATTTAACTATAATATGGTTAAAATATGGTAAATTTAATCATAATTTATGGTTGAAACAACCATAATGTAATTAATTTTCATCGAAAAGTATATAACAGCAACCATAATTTATGGTTAAAACTTAATCATAGTATGGTTCTTTAAAATTATGGTTAACTTAACCATAAAATTTTTTTGTGTGTAATCAGATATTTATGACATTAAATATATTTCTAAATTTAATTAGTAATACAAAATATAATTCTTTTAATGTCGTAAATAACTTTATATATTTTGTGTTTCATATTATAATAAACACTAAAAATCCAACCACACATAAATTTTCGAAGAAAAAAAAATAGGTATAATATGAGAACGTACGTACATTTTTTTTTTTGATATAATGATATACACCTTATAAATATATATTATAAAATAAATATATATTCACAATCTCAAATATATATATTAAAAATTTTGAAAATTCTTACCATCAATATTAGTTGCTTCACATCTCCAGACTTGCCCAAAGGCTCCTTCTCCTAATATATTGAAGAATTTCAAACGATGTCTTGGGAATTCCCAACGATCCGTTTTCGATGATTGTGAATTACTGCCATTTCCTAGACCATTACCAATACAACCAGAACTAGCACCATTTGAACTACTTGTTGATAACTGTGAAGTAACCTAATAATATGACAATTTTGTATATAAAAAAATATATATATATATAATATGTACGTAAAATATACAGTAATAGTGATATGTATAAAGATTAAATTCGTTTTATTAAAAAAATATAAAAGAAAATGGGAAAAAATATAATATGAAATAAAAAAAAATATTATGATATTTATACCGTTAAAACCCACCTACATACTCAAATATTACATACATATAATAGGTATGAATAAAATAAAAAATAAAACCAGCAATATGGATTTGAATGGAATTATTTTTTTTTTCTTTTTGTTCATAAATGTATGAAAATATGGGATGGAATTAAAAAATAGAAGTAGCAAAAAATTCACTTTTCTTATTTTGTGCCTGTATATGATGGTTTATCAAATAAATAATACATACATTGATACATACATACATATACATACATATGTAATGCAACTACCATGTGGGTGCATATTGTTCTATATATAATTATATCATGCATATTTTGTAAAGGAATCGTACACATAAATGCTGTTTACTATGAAATAAGGACGATTATTTTAAATGCATGTCATTTACAAGAATTCATTTCGAATTCAGAATATTTTGTAATGAACTTAGAATAGAAAAAAATTATTTTAGAATGCATATGTACTCTAAATTTTCAGTTGCTCTATATCACAAATTAAATTTGAGTATAAAGAAATTTGATTTCAGAATGAATAACCTACATTATATATAAGCTATAAAAAATCACCCTTTATTTAAATTATTTTATAAATCAACCAAACTTTCTAAAGCTTCAAAATTGAGATTATTAATGACTTGTGTAATCGATTCTTTAAGAATGAATGAAACATTTTATAGGTGAGCTAAAAGCTGAACTTGCAAACCGATATGATTGGATTCTTTCTTTTTCTTTTGAATTTATGGACTCCACTCGAAGACTCATCTGTTTCCCTCATAATTCCCTCATAAAAGGGCCGTATAACAAGATTTAAAAAAAATTCCAATAAAATTGAAAATCTTTGTGTAAAATCTCTGCATCTTTTTTTTTAAGCCGACCCCTTGAAATAGAAAAAATATAAATTTAATATTTTTAAATTTTCATATTCACAGGAAATGGATTATTTCAATATACTCGTATACAGGTCAATTTGACTTACATATGCATATATGTATAATATTATATTAACGTACTTATTAATAATATATTGACCTAAAATATAATATTATGTTTGCATGTATGTATGTACTTCTTAAAAATTTTTTATCAATGTGGAATAGAAGTACATAATATTATATATACTCTCATTTACTGACAATATTATTTCTATTTTATTCAAACTACTTTTTATGTCACGTGTACCATTTTGTTAGAGTTTTGTTCTAGAAATGTGGAAAAAAATATGAAAACTCATTATTTTTTTTTTCATATACTTTTTTATAAGGATTTATATATATTTTTTTTCGGTTCCCTTCTTCGTATTTTGCTGATCTAAAAATATTCTATTAAATGGAAAAAATAAAATTTCAAATGAAAATTGATTTTATATATTTTTTATGCAGGCTTAGATATTACTGAAGCATGAAAAATATTATTATAAAGATTTTGGTTAAGTGTTTTACACATGCAACAATTTGTTTTCAAAAATGGGAATAACAATTTTTTTAGAGTGAGTATATTATATTCGCTGCATGTACTTAATGAATATAACACAAATCTAGTTTTATGTTACAGTTAACATGATTTAATTGCGTTATGACTTCGTTATTATTATTTTATTATAATGCCCATATTCTCCTTAGACGCCAAATTCAAAATAAGTGGGTGTTAAAATAACATAGGGTATAGCATTTAGGCTGATAACGCTATACCACAAACGAATTCTAAAATGCTAAGAAATCGACCTTTGAGATATAGACCAAGACATACTCTTTATATCAGCGTCGAATATGGTGTTAATTTAGCCATGTTTGATGGTTCAAGCGGTGATTTAAGAACGATTTGAACTAATCTAACCAAATTTTCACAAATTGCTTATAACAGATGTTAATCTGTTAAATACGATCCCAACTAAATTTGGGTTTGATCGAAGCTTTACTTGGAATTTCAAATATTGTTCAATTAAAGGATTAAATATAGGTTCACTATTCTGATTCTTACGATTTGACAATGTTAACGCGACTAACTCAATTTTCCTCGTTTTATTTAATTTCAAAATCAATGAGTTTGTATAAATTAAATCTACTTAAAGTTCAAATAACGAAAATATTCCTCGTTCTAGTTTCAGTTTTCCGCACACTTTTTCTCATATACATGTAGCCTGTAGGTATGTATGTCTGTAAATATTGCATATTTAATTTTTGTATACTTTTTTTCAAATACTTTTTCTAAAAACCGGTTAAAATTAAAAACATTTTCAGGACTTTTGTCAACAAACACATACCGTTGTACAGTTGGAAAACATTTTTTTTTTTCACAAAAATTTAACCTAAGACTGACAGAATAATATTCTTTTCATTTTTTCTCATATGTTCGAAATTTTTGATAGTATAACAACTGCACATTTATCTAAAAATTGTTTAGCAAATGGTAAGGAGACCGATATAGTAAACCACCAATTAAAAACAACATAATGTATAACATCTCAAATATTGTTTGTCATAAAATGAAACTGTTCCATTTAAGTTTGTGACATTTAAAACTAGAAAAAGACAATAAAAAAAATACTGAAAATAACCATCGAGTATAACTCAAATTTCTTTTCTTTTTTGGTATTTAGAAAATAAGGATACAAAAAAAAGTTATTTTAGTAGATAAGAGAAAAAATTTTTATTAGAAATCTGAGAACACCAATTTTCATTGAATATTTTTTCTTTTTATTTCGAGATTCGCAAATAATTTTTATCCTATTTTAAATGAGCATATGATAGTTTACCAAATGTATTATATACTCTATTAATTTACTTATTGCCATACATATATGGTAGCAAAATAATTACAAAGAATTATAGCAAAATAAAAATAGCTTATGAGTCCAAATCTAATGTTTTGCTACTAATTCGTTATAAAAATAATACAACGGACTCCAATAACTATTGAAAATTCACAAAGAACCAAATAAGAATTGATTTTCGTAATGTGAGAAATCCTCAATTTCTTTAAATCTTGTAATAATTTTTACAATATTCACTCAACTAATCAACGAATATTACAGAATCGACGCGAATTCGCACAATAAGGACTAAAGCAATTAATTTACTCCGAAATATTTTAATATGAGAAACAAATTTAGAATTCGTTCAAGGATAATTATTGTGTAGAATAATCGAAATCTAAATTGAACTAGGTTATGAAAAGTTATTATAAATATTTATTTTAACTTTCATTCGAAATATATACATTTTGTTTGCAAAAGTTGGCATTATTGGGTGGTATGTTCGATAAGTGTTCATCAAAACATAATTAAAAGTTAGAAACATACTAAGGGATTTACAACTTTTATTACTAAATATACAATTTCAATTTTTCAAAATGCTCTTCCGATAGAATCGCTTAAATAAACATGCACTTGGAATGTGCCATAACATGCTTAACACACATATATATATAATACACATTATAAAATGAAATATAGTCGGTCATTGGACTGATTTATCAATATTTATTTTCACATTTTTCGATTTTTTTACTTCTTATTTTGAAAATCTTAAACTTTAAATAAAATACTTTTTTGTCCTTTTTCTATAGCGTAATAATATAATTTAGATATTATCCGAAATATTTCAGAATGAGAACCAGAAATTTTTAAAAAAATTTAACTACTATCCTTTACAAAATTTTGTATGTCCTTTTTCAATAATGACAGAAATATTTCTTCTCTCAATTATTATAAGATATATAAAAACAAATTGTGCCCTTAAAATTCCAATCTTAATAGCATTCAGTCAAACACATTCACTCAAATCAAGATAAAAGATTAATTTTCATCAAAATTTTATACTGCAATAAAAAAATTTGGTTGAACAAAAAATTCATCAAGGTTAACCTAAAGACTTTTTTTTTACTAATTATTAACGCGTCACTTTAAATGGGTGACCTTTACAAGCCCCAAATAAAGTAAAGTAGAAAAAAAAAGAAAATAATAATTTTCTTCTTATCTTGAAATTTCGTCATTTCGAAATTGATACTTCACTTTACTTTAACAACCATAACAAAATTTTCAATTACATTTAAAGTCTAACAAAAATTCAAAAGTCAAGACTTTACTTTCTTTCTCCTCTTTTTTTTGCAAAGGCCTTGCACATTTTCCTTCTTTTATGATATAGACTTAAGCATGAAATTATGTACATACAATTTACAGTACAAAAACAAACGTTTTGACCTTTTCGATCAAAATCAAAAAATGGGAAAATTAAAAAAATGTGAAATTTTTTTTAACTCTGCATTTCTTTGAATTTATTTCATTTTAATCATAACGTACCCTTGTAAATATGCAATTTTTATTGTTTTTCCATATGTATTGTAAGTATGCGTCTTTGTATTAGTATGTAAAAAATATTATGGAAAATTTCATGCTTTGTTCCAAATTTTTAGTTTTTTTATTCGATTTCCACTTAATTCCTTTTTAAATATAAAACAAAATTTGAAGTAAGAAAAAGTTCAAAATTGAGGTTCTCGGGGAATTTGTAACAAAAATTTTACGTTTGTAACACAATTATATTTTTATAATGAACATGTAAAAATCTTGGGTAGAGACAGAATAGGAAGCTATAAATTATTACAAGTTCCGGAAAAAATTGGGAAGAATAAAGTATATATATATATATCTGGTTAAAATAAAAAAATCTGACCAACCTTTATCCCATATTTAATATCGAAAATTTTTATCTTATAAAAAAAAACAGAAAATCGGTTTATTAATTATATAAGCACATTCCAATTCTTTAAGTGTTGTCTAAACTTTCGGTTCTTAACATGCTCAAAAGGTTGTTAAAATTAAGATTCAAAAAGTTTTCCATAAAAAACAAGAATTAATTTTATTCATTACAACATACTTATGAACTTAGCCCTTTTAAAGAAATAATGTGAAAAATTTGCAAAATATTATTTTGTTTCTGCACCCAAGTTTCTTTTGCACTTCAAGTTATACGAGTATACGTATATAATTATACATAATATCTAAAGACATTATAGGACATTTTTAGGCATTAAAAAATTATAAGGAAATAAAAACATACCATAGATATTTGTTGATTATCACGTTCCCATGGAACATAACGATTACTAAAGGCTAATGGACCACTCCAATGTTGTAATACCATTGAATTACGACTATCATCTGTTATATTACTGCTTAAATTGCTTTGGTTTGATTTTTTTGCCATTTCTTCTTTACTTTTTTTCTTTAAAGATTTACCAATGGCACATAAATGTTTACGGAATATAACTAATGCTACAATGCCAGCTGCCAGGAATATTCCACAAATAGTAATTATAACTGGTATAACAGTTTTTACAGAAATTGTTGCGGATTGATCTTGGGATGATGTTATTTGATGACTACCATTTCCACCATTTGCATTGCTCAAAAAATCATCTATATTTCAAAGGAAAAGAAAAATTAATTTTAAAATATCTTTCTTTTATATAAGAAATATTTTTTATCACCTCCATTTTTATGTGTTGATGGATCATTTTTATTATTTGTTATTCTTTCATCGTCATCCTTTTGATTATGAGATTTATTCTTCATTGAAGAATCATTCGTACCAAATCCTACTGGCTTATTGGTGTTTGTTTTGATTGGTGTCAATTTTGTTCTGGTACTTTGGTTACTGCTATTATTGTTACTACTATTAACGCTACTGCTATAACTATTATTTGTATTACTATTTCTAATGCTATTACTGTTATCATTAAAATCATTACTATTGTTATTCATATTGCTTGAATCATTTTTACCCTTTTCATTAAAACTATTGGTGTTGATATTGATTCCATTATAAGTGCTTGAAGGAATTGAATTAGTTGGTTTATTCGATGATGTTCCATCAGTATCACTTGACGATTGTTGATTTTGATTATGAGGAAAATATATATTAGAATTTGTATCCTGTTTTGGATATGATGATTGTGTATTTAATAAATCTGGATAACGATTTTGTGGTACTGAATGTCCTTGTTGTAATATTCCTGGTGGTAGTCTTGGATTATTCGGATGATTTCGCATTGATTTTACTCCTGGCAACTCACTAAAATAAGGAAACAATTGTGATATATTACGGGGTGGTATCGATGGTCTTGAATCATATATTTTATCATCATTTTCATGATAAATATTCACAGAAATTTCATTTTTTGCTGTTAATTGCCCATCCGAAACTGTTACAAAAAGAAAGAAATTATCTCCAGCCTGGATTTATATTTGATGGTTTTATTGTTTTCGCACCATGGTTTTGTTCAAATAAGTTGGAAAAAAGAAAATTGAAAAATGATAAAATAATATCAATAAATTAACTTGAAAATTAATTGGTAAATTTATTTCTAAAAACAAAAAAAATGCAATTGAATTGTTTAAATGAATATGGGAATATTGCCAAATAGAATAGTGTAAAAAAATTGAAAGAAAATAGGAAGCAAAATAAAATATTGAAAAAAATTTTCGCAATAATAAATGACGTTTTTTTTAAATAAGGTAAAGGTATAAGGAGATTGAAATACTCCTTATTAAAACATAAAAATACTTACTCTTCCAACAAGACTTTCATTTAATCGAACAATACCAGTGTTGTGATCGATTTGAAATGGTAAATTTTCGTTTGAATTTGATGATGACCCAGTCGGATTTAAATAATCGCCATGAAATAATGGTTCTAAATCAAATGTTAAATGATCATTTTCTGCATCTTGTGCCCTAACACGTACTATTATTGATCCAACTTTTTCAGTTTCTGATATCCTCCAATCTCTGTCAACTGATATCACAGGGGGTGTATTGAGTATTGAAAGTTGTGTGTTCACTGAAAAAATAAATAAAATTTACATTTAAAAATTTGAAACATTTTAGAATTTGTAAATCAAAATATTATTTTTGCCTTCCTGGTAATAGTTGGCAAGATAACGACAAGCACACAGTAGAATCGTCAACTGGTTAGAAATGGAAAGAAAACTACTTATCTATTTGTTTTCTTAAACATTGTTCTGGTCATTAACCTTTAAATGTTTAGCTCTCTCTTTGAAATAAATACTAGTATGCTTTAAAAAGCAAATTTTCATAAAAATTTCGTAAAAATAAAAAATGACAAAAAACAAAAATTTTACAAAAAATTTTATTTAACAAAATCTTAAAATTTTGAATTTGTCTTTCAAAAGAAAAGTTCTTTAAAATAATTCAAAATTTCACAAAAGAAAAATTTCCACTTCCATCAACGTGAAAGGAAAGAACAAGTTTTTTTTTACTTTTTCTCATATTTTAATAAAGAAAACATTGCGTTATTATTTCAACCTCAACATGTCTAGACCAATTTTACTAAAATATTTCTTTTAAGCTTTAATATAAAAAAATGTTAATAAAAACGTGTACCTTCCTACAGAAACATTCTTGTATTTTTGTGTACTATGTACTTATGAGTGTATACAATATCTTGTAAAAGATAAACAAAACAAAAATAAGACAAATTTTCAACTGTCCAAATATAATTTTATTTTGCGAAATATAAGAGTAACATTTTTCATTAACAGAAACTTTACTTAAGTTTGTGTCTCGCCTTACAATAGCGAAGAAATTTCTTTTTTAATTTTTTATTTTCATCATAAACATGAAATAAAATTTTCTATTTTAATAAGAGAAATATAATATGTATGTATATTTCTTTAAAGTAACTCACTTGTTACTTTACGTAATTGCAAATTTCGTGTTAAATGTCGCACTTCTAAATATCCTAACTCCTTTATTCTATATATCTAACTGGAGCTCTTAAAAGGAACCACCTAAAAATTCCAAAATTGGCGGTATCACAAAGGGTCTTACCTTGAGGTAGCGGCATCGGCCTAACCTAAACTGAAAAATTTTTCAAAAATGGACTCTTCAAACAAACTAAAATAAAAATCATATTCAAATTTCCAGGTAAAAACTCTAGCATTTATAAAAAGTCAGACAATATTTTCTTTTTTATGGTGCGGATATGAACAACAATAATACCATTTTAAAAAATAAAAAAACCCCAGTCAAATAAACATGAATACTAAGAATAAGCGAAAATAATTTGGCCCTGTCTTGATGCAACTTCAACCTGTAACATAAATCCCAGTTTTCGAGAAAATTCTTAAACTTACAAAATAAAAACAGCAAATAAAAGCCTCCCATGATCACAAAAATCAAGTCGGTATCAAAAGATAATAAAGCAAAAAAGAAAAATCCAGAAAGGAAAAAAATTTAATAAAATTGTGACGCACCTTTAAACATGTTGTTAAATCACCTATCTTAACTAATATTATAGTAATCAACAACAATATGCATGCAAATGAAAAGTGAAAACTGATTTTTTTCTCTTATTTTTTTTTTGTTTTTAAGCTTTTTTTTCCATGATAAGTTATAAGCCAGACAATCATATGCAAATAAATATTAAACATGTTATGTACTAACATGTGTAATAGTACCGCCACAACAGTAAGTTAACTTAAAGTTATTATGATGATAAAGAAGATAAAAATGACAATGGTGACAATGGAAAACAATTCCGAAAAAAACGTATAACAATATAAATAGCTACTACACAAAATAACAAACAGCGCAATCATTCACAGAAAAAATAACAAATTACATATATAAAAATATAGGTACGTAGTATTTTTATATAGTAACAAAACAGGAAAAATAAAAAACACCATATAACTAAAGACAGTCACTAATTTTACAAGAAAACAGAAAATATGAAAACTTGTTTTCTTATCCATATGACCTTCAGAGATTTATATGAATTTACGCTCATATATACACGCTCGTACACTGTTAAAATTGGTGTAAATATTTTTAAATTTTTACTTTGAATACAGTCTGGAATTTCCAAACAACTCATTCTTTTTACCAACCGCATTGCATACAATAGTTTAAGTGATGAGAACATTATACGTTATGTAAAGGCAGCAAATTTCGGATGTCAAGTTTCTTTTGTGGTAGGTAAGCGTAAATAAACTATTTTAAGAGAGATGTCGATCCGTCTGCCTTTCAGTCGGTCCGTGGGTCTATATGAGCGAAATTCACATTTGAGCTGATCTGATGGTCTGTTAGTCTAATTTTGATGGAATATAATATGTGACAGCTTATTTCGGGTATGTCACGAATTGATTAACTTTAGGAATATATGAAGCTTTGGAAACAATATGGCGAACCTGTGAATTCACATTTTTCTTCCATTCATATCTATTCTTCCATTTTAACACCTGAGTCTCGTACACTCTGTATATATGTTACAAATAATATACATTTTATATATAAGTATACCCGTGTACACTTCTACATGTGTAAAATTGATGTTTAAAAATTTAATAAAAAATTATGAATATACATTGAATCCAAAATTGTCATCCACCACTTTGTACTGAATATAATACACAATAGTTTTATATTAAGAAAATGGCGACATTTTATCTTAAAAACTATAATACAAGATTTTCATTTACATATTAAATGACATAAATAAAACAATGTGTATATACATATGTGTATGTATAGTGCAAACACACAAATGGAGCATCAAAATACATTTATAGTGAAAAGCAACATATTTGTAAATTTTAAGATATTCGAGTCAAAGACATTTTAATGATGACTTTATTTTGTATTCATGCATTATGTAGTTTAAATAAATTGGATATGTAAATGTTACTCTATAACAAACGCACATACAAATGGAAAAATGAAGTTGATTTTAACAAAATTTAGAATATTCATATAAAATACCTTACATATTTTACTTTAAAATTCATGAGTAACATTAATGTTTGCAACGCGTCATTACATACATATATGTATGTAGTTCTCCCTAAATTTTTTGGATAATGTATGTTACATAAATCTATAAATAACATTATTATTTCCAAAATAATTATTCATTATTATATTACTTATAGTGTTATAAACGTGTGCATATCTATGTACTTGTATGTATATTCGAAATTTACATTAAATAATCACATAGCCTTAAAATTTGCAAAATAAATGTAATTAATTAACTAAAATTTTATATACGTACATACATACTTATAAATAAAATCATATTTTCATTTAAAATAATATTGCTGACAATTGGCTCACAGCTTACTATAAATTTAAATTATTAATTATAAATAATTAAGGCAATTTATGGATGTACATATGTACATATATGTGAAGAAATATTGCCGATATAGAATTAAGAAAAACATTGAAATTTAAATAAAATGTAAGGGGTAATTCTCGTTGTTACGTTATTTATATTTAAAATATGTTTATCGAAATATTTGTAAACTGCAGAAGGCTACATGATAGGTAATACAATATCTGAATTTCTGGCAGCTTTAAAAACTAATATTAACGACATTGATTGGCAAAATAAAACTAAAGTATACAATATTTTAACATAAGATGAAAATAAAAGATAAATGGAATTATATACGTACATTAATTATATACGTAAATACGTACATAAATATAAACAGGTTATAAATAAACTCGTAGTTGATAATTTAATAAAAATGTTTCCACAAAAAATATTCGAATGTACTGCGTTTATACTAAGTATGCACAAATTTATAAGTATATTTTTTGTGTATATACATTTAATCCAATGCGAATTTGAACCAAAAACAATTGGAAATCAAAACTTAAATAGGACTTGGGAAAGAGTATTTTGTCTACAAAATTGAATTTTGTAGACAAAATACTCTTTCAGTTGAACAGTCTAATATGCATACATGGACATTCCATTTGTATTTGTACTCTGTAAGCAATCCCATATTGTTACTCGTTTTGCGCTGAAATCTGCAACATCATGTTCGCATTCCATGAATTTTTTATAGAAAAATTTACTTAAAGTTTATTAAAAGAAATTTATATCTGGTCTTGTAGTGTTTTCTGAAAACTTTTTAAATTTTGATTATTTTTTGTAAAATTTCGTTTAAGGGTAATTTACGTATCCTACATACATACATTTGTGACTTGAAATTGTGAATTAAAATACATAGGACGTCAAATTATAATTATAACAGTTAATGTCTCAAGATTCCTTTAAAATCAGTTTCGTTTTAAAAAAGAAAACCTTGACTCAAGTATTTTAATATATTCAAAATTATGCTTATTGTTTTTTTCACTTTTTTAAAATCATTACACAGCACTATAAAATCACCTTACATTGTAGAACGATTTATTATCACTTTAAGAAAAGTAGAAGAAAAACAAAACGAAGAATCTAAAAAAAAAAAATTAAGGATTCTTGTGCCGTTATATTATGCATAACGGTAGGAACAAGCAATTTCATACAATTTTTTTTTTTTTTTCAGATTGCTTGAGCGGCAACTAATTGCATTTTAATGTGCACTTAAAAAGATTCCCCCAATTAGCTTAGGCACAAAATAAGAAAAAAAAAAACAAATACAGAATGAATAAACTTTAAAAACCCTACCGTTACAGATACATGTTATATATGTATGTCAAACCATTATAAATATATTGTATAACACCTATAAGTATATATAAGTATTTGCATGTGAAATTCATGCAATTTCTGTATAATTATTATAATATATTTTCACTTGCATTATGTGCAATTAAATATCAGGTGTTGCTATGTTGCTAACAAACACTTGAATGTTTTTATCGAGGATAGAAATGCAGTAGTAATTTTTACATATAAATTGGATGATTTTTAATAGCTGGAAAATTATCTTACTCATTTTCAACTTAAATTACACCTATAAAAATTCATAATATATCATTGAAGTTGTATATACTCGTAAGTATACACGTAAATATTCATGTTAG